CGAGGCGGAGGGAGGCGGCGGCGATGGTGAGGCGGAGGGAGGCGGCTGCGAGGGCAACGCGCACGGCGGCGGCGGCGACGGCGATGCCGACGGAGGCGGCGGCCACGGCGACGCGGACGGCGGCGGCGCCGACGGCGATGCCGAGGGAGGCGGCGGCGATGGCGAGGTGGAGGGAGGCGGTGGCGAGGGCGAGGCGGACGGAGGTGGCGGCGACGGCGATGCTGAGGGAGGCGGCGGCGACGGCGAGGCGGAGGGAGGCGGCGCCGACGGCGATGCCGAGGGAGGCGGCGGCGAGGGCGACACGGACGGAGGCGGCGGCGAGGGCGAGGTGGAGGGAGGCGGTGGCGAGGGCGAGGCGGACGGAGGTGGCGGCGACGGCGATGCTGAGGGCGGCGGTGGCGACGGCGATGCCGAGGGAGGCGGCGGCGACGGCGAGGCGGACGGAGGCGGCGGCGAGGGCGAGGCGGACGGAGGCGGTGGCGAGGGCGAGGCGGACGGCGGTGGCGGCGACGGCGATGCCGAGGGAGGCGGTGGCGACGGCGAGGCGGACGGAGGCGGCGGCGACGGCGAGGCGGAGGGAGGGGGCGGTGACGGTGAGGTGGACGGCGGTGGCGGCGATGGTGAGGCGGACGGAGGCGGTGGTGACGGTGAGGTGGACGGCGGCGGCGGAGACGGTGAGGCGGAGGGAGGCGGCGGCGAGGGCGACGCGGAGGGAGGCGGCGGCGACGGCGATGTCGAGGGAGGCGGCGGCGAGGGCGACACGGACGGAGGCGGCGGCGATGGCAAGGTGGAGGGAGGCGGTGGCGAGGGCGAGGCGGACGGCGGTGGCGGCGACGGCGATGCTGAGGGCGGCGGGGGCGACGGCGATGCCGAGGGAGGCGGCGGCGACGGCGAGGCGGACGGAGGCGGCGGCCAGGGCGAGGCGGAGGGAGGCGGTGGCGAGGGCGAGGCGGAGGGAGGCGGCGGCGAGGGCGAGGCGGAGGGCGGCGGCGGCGACGGCGATGCTGAGGGAGGCGGCGGCGACGGCGAGGCGGACGGAGGCGGCGGCGAGGGCGAGGCGGACGGAGGCGGTGGTGACGGTGAGGTGGACGGCGGCGGCGGCGACGGCGATGCCGAGGGAGGCGGCGGCGAGGGCGACACGGACGGAGGCGGCGGCGATGGCGAGGTGGAGGGAGGCGGTGGCGAGGGCGAGGCGGACGGAAGTGGCGGCGACGGCGATGCTGAGGGCGGCGGGGGCGACGGCGATGCCGAGGGAGGCGGCGGCGACGGCGAGGTGGAGGGAGGCGGTGGCGAGGGCGAGGCGGACGGCGGTGGCGGCGATGGTGGTGGCGGCGATGGTGGTGGTGAGGGT